CTCATGTTGGGGTAAGTACAAGAGTATTCAGTATATTTTTAGTATTTCCACTTTACAGCTGCACAATTGTGTGCTTTTAATATTAAGATTACAATTTGAATTTCAACAAAGCCAAATTTGCGTTTTTGGAGGGAATCAGAAAAGACTGTTCAAGCTGTGACGGATTTTAGAATTTAAGCTAAACAACATTTCCTAGTCTAAGTTTCAATCTCGTGAACATTAACACAGAGGATCTGAACAGATGAACGTGCCTCTAAATGAATTCTAATGCTGCCTGGAAGTGGAACAATCATGGCTGGAAATCGATGAATGTCTCTTGAAACCATTAAAGAATATTTAAAGACCAAACCATGACATTAGAATTTGTGTCTCTGACCTAATGTTGTAGACTTCAACTGAACATGTGCGAGGGAGTTATTGATTGTAGTAAGAGGTTTATTTCATGATTTACACAAACATGTTTCCAAAGTTTAGCATTTAGACTTGAAACTCTAATTTTTGTCATAGCCACTGGTGTCTTTTACTGGACAAACTGAGGAAACCAAAAACGATGTACACTTCCTCCGTTTTTAGCATTAGCTTCAGTTAACGCTCAGTTGGGTTAAAACAATGTATCTTAAAATCAAATGATAAGTTTTACATGAACAACATTCCATCAAAAAATGTGGGTAACCTGTGTGTGTGGAGTATAAGCACCAGAAATGATGACAGTAAGTAGAAACATAAAAACTTAACTTTAATATCGCATTTGTTGTACTGATCCATAAACTTGTTGAAATTTGTGCTCAGAATCTCTGAAAGATTTTTAAATTATTGCATTTATTGATCGCGTCAGAAGGTAAATGCTGTCGGCCTCCAATGATCAAACAAGTAATGCATGTAGAACACTTGAATATTAATTTCCTCATTATATATGTGCTCTAAAGATGTAGTAAAATTAGAATTGAGAATATTTTATGGTTTGAACCGAGCTGGTTTCAGTTTTTTGATCTGCTAAATCTGTAAAGACAAACAGAAATTGACAAATGTATATGACTTAAATTACTACATTACATTTACAGTATATCAGTGTCCACATAGTACAAATGTATTGTGGGAAAATGTAAAAAACAAACGTGTGTATATTTTCATGTCCTGGTTTAGCATCTGAAATCATGACTCGTGATCATCAATTGATTTGGGATGTCTTACCATGAAAACGTTGCACCTTGTGTCTTTTCGCAGGTGCTTCATTGGACACACTTGTTGTGACCCAGAGTCCAGATGTTTCTGTCACAGAGGGACAGACAGTAGACATCACCTGCTGCTGGACGGTGAAGTTTGAAAGAGTGTGGCTAGAGTGGCTGAAGAATGAAACCACAATCAAGAACGAAATCTTCCAGTATAAATCTCAAGGATTTCTGAAAAGTGACACTAACTGTTCGTCTCTGAGTTTTCCAAATATAAGAAGAAATGAGTCAGGAAAATACATCTGCAGAGTGTTTATGGATATACCATACTATGTGTCCACCAAAGGCCGTGGTACATTGATCACAGTTACGGACTTACAGAGCAGTGATTACGTCGACCCAGATCACCACAATGCTGATGGTAGGTGACTAAAACACAAGAGGCCTCACATACAAGCTGTTGCCGTGATGGATCGTCTCATGTTGTAACTGGTTTGGCAAGCTATGGAGGCTAAACCAGTTTGTATTAATGATCATATATGTTCATTTAGAAGAGCTGCACATGAAACACTCGTTAAAACCCAGAGTAATTGTACATAATAGACTCCTGATCGTTTGCCTGATTTTGTTTAGGGTTGTAGCAG